CATCTCAATCACTTACTCCTTCACATGGGGTTTATATTCATACTCCCTCCCTACTGACACATACAATCAGATCTGATCATCATACAATGGTTCCCACCACCAGTGAGACATCTCCCCCGCCGCCGGTTGAGCTCATACTATAGCTAAATATCCCTTACCCATTGCACTACTATCCCAATTACATGATGCCACTCCTACTTCTTACTCCAAGGCTTCTACTGGTGTCCGGTGGCAAGAAGCGATGACTAAGGAATTCAATGCTCTCCTACAAAACTGCACCTAGTCTCTCGTTCCTTATAAAGATGGTATGAATGTCATCAACACAAAGTGGGTTTACAAAGTGAAGAGGCATGATGACGGGTCTGTAGAACGGTTCAAGGCTCGACTTGTTGCTTAGGGTTTCTCTCAGATTCCAGGAGTAGATTTTACTGATACATTCAGCTCGGTTGTTAAACCAACAATCATCCGAACTGTTATTGCCATTGTCGTGTCCCATAAATGGCCAATTCATCAGCTCGACTTTGACAATGCCTTTCTTAATGGAACCATTCAAGAGGACATCTGCGTCCGTCAACCCAAAGGGTTTGAAGACCCACTCTTTCCTACACATGTGTGTAAGCTACAAAATTCTCTATTTGGGCTTTGATAGACTCCTAGGGCTTGGTACTCTCGGCTGACCTCTCACCTTTTGAGTATGGGTTTTCATATTTCTAAATCGGATCTATCACTTGCTATCTTTTACAAAGGTACTACTTCCATCTATATGCTGATTTATGTTGATGACATTCTCCTAATTGGGTCCACTTTTGCTACTATCTCATGGGTTATCTCTTCTCTAGCTGTCACGTTCTCTCTCATGGATCTAGGTCCGACACGGTACTTCTTAGGCATGTAATTCACTCCACATTCCTCTGGCCTAGTTCTCTCTCAACAACAGTACACTACAAATCTTCTCAAGTAGTCATATAGATCTAGCTAAACCACTATCCACACTTATGGTCAGATCTTGCAAATTGACCAAGTTCTATGGATCTTCTTTGTCCGACCCCAGTGAGTACCACAGTATCGTTGGAGCCTTATAGTGCTTGACAATCACAAGACCAGATATTACTTATAGCATAAACAAGGTTTGCCAATTTCTCCACTCTCCAACCTCAAATCATTGGGTAGCTATATACTACGGTACCTCAAAAGTATGATTGATCATGGGCTATTATTCTACTCCTCCCTTGCTCCCTTGTCTCTTCAAGCCTTCTCTAACACCGGTTGGGCGGGATGTCCGGATGATAGACGCTCCACCAGAGGTTTTGCTATCTATTTGGGAAACAATTTAGTGGCATGGAGTTCCAAGAAACAGAATACAATCACCTGTTCCAGTATAGAGCCTGAACTCAGATCTTGTGCGAACATTGCCACAGAAGTTCTATGATTACAATCTCTGCTAAGAGATCTCTATCTTCCACTCCGTCACTATTCAATTATTTGGTGTGATAATATTGGAACAACACATCTTGCACCCAATCCAGTTTTTCGTGCTCGAACTCGACATGTTGAAATTGACTATTACTTTCTTCGAGACATGGTACTAAATAAGTCTCTAGAGGTGTGTTTTATCTCTAAATAGGATCAGACGGCAGATATCTTCACCAAACTTGTTAGTGGCACTCAGATCCAAGCTTCATGTCCATGCTACACATTTCACTTGAGGGGGCGTGATAGAGTTCTATTACTGTTTATCAAAGACCAGCAGTAGACTTCATGATAAAGTCCATCGCATGACCCCTACATGTGATGAACTTCATCATGATCTAATCGTTTTCTTATCCTGATAGACTCTATTCGATAGAGTTCAGGTGTAAGTTAAACTAATCTCTTAATATTGAGTGTTGTGCACAAAATCAAATTCTAATAGTTGTATTGTACTCAATCTTTATCTGGTCATCTATAAATAGATCAAGTTATCATCAAACCATTCACATTAGTCCAGTTCTCTTTTATTTCTTCGACTAACATTTCTTCCAAGGGGAACTAGGGGGACAAAACCTGTAGAGGTGGTCCAAGGGTCAATGTTTCATCCCTGCAATTCCTAGAGGCTGAATGGTGATGTCCAAACCTTGAGGGTAACTTGCTATCAGCCCATCCATTGATTTCCAAACCTATAACCATCACCTAGCTTGGTTTTTCCAAAGCCTGGGTCCTAAGATAGACAGAGGCAGCTGAAAGTTTGCTTAACAAGCCTAGTGATAAGAACAAAACTAAGGTGACCTACCCTATGGTTTGAATCTGAACCCAAAACCTGGGCAACCCCAACCCGCAACCATTCAAGATTAAAACTAGTCTTAAGATTGCAAGACTTTTTTCTTTATTAAGCATCCAAATTGGGTTCAACACAAGATTGTTTAGCCTGTGTAACAACTCTGAGATCTAGCAATCAGGAAAATGATTTTAGAAAGGTATTGGTCTAAACATGTATTAGAATGGAAAAGATATTAACACACTTCTTGAAATACCAATGCCGAACATACTTATGTAAACCCAAGGGTGCTGATATATATGAAAGATGAATCTGTCAAATTCTGTTGCCTATCAAAAAAAAAAAAAAAGAAAACGAAACAAAAAGATGAATCTGTCAAATTTTGGCGCAAATCCAGTTAGAGGATTTGAATGGACCACATAGGGCCTGTTTTTTGGTCAGTTGATCTAGCCATCTTCCATTTATTTCTGTTTTCAGATATTTGCTCTAGTCTTTATCACCCCTCTATATCATTTGAACAATATATGAGCAATAAGATGGTAATAGAAAATATAGAAAAAAAATTCATTCTTTTGGAGATAGAATATAGTAGCAATTCCTTCAGAGCAAGAAGCTTTGCAGTCTCAATAGCTTCATCACTTGATACCTAGAAATTACACAAACATCATAATATAATAAATAGTAAATCGAATATTATGTAGAAGTAGAACTACATTGACGAGTTATAGGAAAAGGAAATCAAAATTAAACTGTAGTTCAAGAGCCTTCATGGAAGCCAAGGGACCATGACCAAGTTGTTTTGTCCATGGATCCATGGGTCCTAGTATAGTACAAGATTATAAGATGAGTGCTTTAACCCTATCCAACCTGAAGCTTACAATCTACTGATTACAAGCTCATGAGGACCTTGTAACCCCCCACCAACTCATTAACACAGGATTAATATCTCATGGGGGTTATTTAGCAATCAATCAACTTTACGTCAATGTCTTTTGCTTAATTAGTGATGCTTCAGAAAAATGTCTAATATGAAGATAAATTCACATGTTCACCGAAAAAGATCACTTAATCAAAGGTTTTAAAGGTTTACATGAAGAATATCAATACATTTTTCTAAAGTTTTCAAATTTCAAAGTAACCTTGGTTTTAATAATGGAATATGTTAATTTTTTATAATTTACTGATGAATTCTGGTAATTTTCTATAATTTATGCGGATTTCCTATAATTTATAAGAATTTTCAATAATTACTTTTAAGTTATGAGAAATTTGAATAGTTTCAATAATATTTGAAAAATTTTTATAATCCGACTTGGGGATAACTCATTGCGGGAAAGTGGAGACTAATCACTCATATTGGGATTAGATATGCATACATGGGCATGAAGAGCTGCTAGTGTTGAAACCTCCTAGCTACAATAACAGCTGAAGCCTAACAAGAAAAGGTGAGTTCACAATCCTTCAAGGTGTTTGGAAACGTGGGCGCTTTTTGAGACCGATTTTCAAGAAAAAAATCCATGCTTCCAAGACCTGTTTTTCACAAAAAACGCTTCTGCCACATAGGCAGTGAGCAACAGTATGCTGTTTGGTAAGGTGATTTTTATCACCGTTTTTCATGTATGTATTGACAGGTAAGCACCACATAGGATACACATCAGTCAACCGTTGGGGGAACCGGTTCACTGATGCATGAAACACCAAATTTTTTAATAATTGGCTGAACCAAACAATAAGATACATGGCATTTGTTGAAACGCCTATGTGGATCCGACGTGGCACCGTTTTTTTTTGAAAAACAAGCACAATTCCAAACATCCCCTTTAATTGTTGGCAGTAGCTAGAATAGCTAGAAGAAAAAACTTAAAAAATAGTGTGGATGACACTAGGAAAGTGAAATATTAACAATAAATAGGACAAATGACGAATGGTTGCATTCTTGTTGATAAAACCTAAAAATAGAAAGCTAGGATCTGGTTTGTTGTCCTTTGTGTCTATCACTATCATCAATTGATTAGTCACCACTTCACTAAATGAAAAAAGAATACAGACGACCTTTGAACTTCGAGGATCCCCTACTACTCGCAACTACTGGACAAAAGGAATTAAAAGGAAAGGTTGAACAATTGTTTCTTTCTTATTTTGTCAAACTCGGATAATCAAATCTGCAATCCATTAACAAATTATAAATTTCTTATTCTTCAATAAATATTATCAGATCATAATCAGTTTCAACTATAATAATCTGGAGAGAGAGAGAGGTTACCTAATGCCAGCGTCATTGTTGGGTGAGATTTCATATGTGAGAGAGAGAAATAGGGCGGGAAGAGAGTGAGAAAGGGAAGAGGAAGAGGAAGAGGAAGAGGGGGAAGTAGCACCCTAATTCGTGCTCTGCTTGTAGCGCCAGTCGATCCTGTCTTACGGTGGCAGTTTTAAATGACTGTCGCTATAGAATATTAATTTTAGCGGCAATTGCCAATTAACCCCTTTTAAAACTGTCGCTATTTATCAATTTTCTTGTAGTGATAAGACATTCCTGACCTTCTTAGTTGGATGTGATGTATAAATTGAACTCTTTGCCGATCGATCTAGGGAGGGGCTTCAAAGGCTCAATTATGTTTGTTTGACCATTGGAAACTGTTAGCCTTATTTGTTAATTTAAGGAGGGGAGACGTGATAAATCTACATAGATTGGAAACATTACCTAATAAGGTTTTCAATTGTGACTCGTTCTTTCGTGGAGGGAGTTCTAAGACTGCCTTCACCTTTGCATCACTAGGATGAATGCTTACTTGATCAACTTTGTACCCAAAGAATTTTTCTAATTCTACTCTACAGGCACACTTGTGGGTTCAGCCTAGCTCATATTATACTATTTTCACCTTGTGAAGACTCTCTTAAGAACCTCATTGTGATCATCATTTTTCTTTGCTTTCACCGTATACTACAAGAAAAACGAGCAAAGCGGCGGTCCAAGTGACTGCCACTGTAGTAATGTCTGACGTGGCGGTCATTGCAAGGCCGCCGCCTAAATCCGATTTGGCATTTGGCACTGCGGCGGTCTAGGGAAGGCATGCGGGGAAGTCAAAAATACTCTTCCTGCGTGAATATTGAGATTCCTCTTCAACGGAACAAAGTGTTCGCGGAGAGCCTTTTGCAGCATAACCTTTTGACGAAGAAGAGACCACTTTGATGAAGAGAAGGACGACTTCTTTGGGGAAAACAAGCATGGCGCGACTCCAAACTAGCATCGAACTTGTTCGTTGTTTGCTTGTGAAGGAGGATGACTTCTTTCCTTTTTTCTTTGATTGAACGGGATTAACAAAGAAATATTCGACCCTTGTTCGTTCGAGTAGGAGAAGAGAAGGTTTTCTATTGTTCTGCATTAATAAAAAATCTACTGAGAACTACATCAAAGGTATGATGCTTATGTTTTTTCCCCTATTTTAAATGTTCCTGTGCACACAAGGATTGGGTGGGATTGTGCTTTCTAGGTCAATATGTTCTGATGGGAAACCACGATACAATGCTTGTGTTTTCCCCTGTTTTAAATGCTTCTGTGCACACAGTATATCATTTCCTATAAATAAAAGGCGTGTTTTTCCCCTGTCTAGGTTTGGAGAATGGAATCTACAGTAAGCCTTTGGTTTGCAGAGACAAAAATCAGTGATGCAAGCTCAGAATCTTGGAAAGTCTTGGAAGGCATGTTTTTGACATTTATATATAGGTATGCATATATTATACTAGGTCTATGTCATTGAATCCATGAAGCTGCATTGTTATTTCAACCCGTTTCTAATTAGTTGAACCCATCCATTAATGAGAATATAGATCAACCTTAAATTAAATTGTATATATAGATAACACAACTCGTATATGTGTCTTTTAATAAATGGCAACTTTCCGTTCTCTCATTGGAGTATACTAAATGGAGCTTATAAGGGTTTTTTGTCCACAACTTAAAAGGTTTAATAAAAGAAACATCAGAAGAGAATCTTTGAATAAAATTTCTTGCCATGGGTCTTGAACTCATATTTCAATTATTGAATCTCTCAAGTTTATCTTACTTACAAAATACCAGAAGCAAACAAAAAAAAAACCGTTAAGTTTCATGCATATTTGTTAATCTTTATGTGTTTTTAGTTTGTCTATATATACCTGATGCTCCAAAAGATTTTCTTAGTTGTTAAAGCTATGTTTTCAATGTTTTAGAGTAATCTACAATTAAAAGACTTTGATATAAGAAAGGAGGCAGGTGGGGCCTCTAATAAAGCTGTTCAGAAAGAATTTAAGGCCAATGTACCTGAGAACTTTCTTGAAATTCATCTTTTCTGGGCTGGAAAAGGTACTTGTTGCATACCTGAACAAGATTACTATGGACCATCTATCTCTGCCCTGTCTGTAACTTCAGCTAATATATTAGGAATTGATGGATGAATCTATTTTAATGAATGAATGTAAAGAATCAGGTAATGTTTTATTTTTTTTTTTTAAATTACTGATTATGGATTTCTTGGTCAGACTTCACACCAACTGTTAGTGGCCTTCCACCAACAACCACAATAAGTGAGGGAAAGACAGAATTGATTTGGAACTCAGGGTTAGAAAGATGATCATAACCACTAGGAAAAACAAATAGGCTTGCTAGGGATCACGAGCCTCCTCCTTGGAAGTTTTTGGTTCATTTCTTTCTATGGCACAAAACATGGAATTATTGTCTGGCATTATAATATAATGGATTTTCAATAAGTGACATGAAAAGGGTATCATATCAGACCTTACCTTCCGGTTTATCCTTGAACATCTTTCTCTTACAGCCATATATATGCTTGCACATTTGTGTGTGATACATAACTAAGCATGTAAGGGGAGAATTCCTTTTGTTATTTGTTGCTTATATTTTCTCCAAATAAATCCTTATAATTCTTGGTTTCATGGTTTTTGAATATTTTGTAAACCGAAGAAGTCTTCTCGTTTATATGTACATATACTAATAAGGACTTTAAGTTGAATTTTATGATTTCTATAGGGCGTACTTTTAGATGGGAGGTTAATGGTTGTGCAACAACTCTCTGTGGCATCCCATCAAGGAAGAAGTCAACTTGTAATAGAGATTGCTACCATATCTGCAGTTTAACAACGTAACCTTGTCAAATTATAAAAACGTATTCGCATACATACATACATATATATATATATATATCCAAATGATGCCACTGATTTTCAGGAAATACTTTGAATCTTGATTGGCACACCCATTATAATATATGCTTGGGAGCAGCAAAAGGGCTAGCTTATCTTCATGAAGAGTCAAGACCTAGGATTGTACAGAGATGTCAAGGCTAGTAATATTCTACTTGATGCTGACTTAAATCCCAAAATTTTGGATTTTTGTTTGGCCAAGCTATATGATAAGAAGACCTGCATTAGTACCCAAGTTGCCAGAACAATGTAATCACCCGAAAGCATTACTTACATCACTTTTCTATCTTCATTTACTTTTTCTTTATATTTATGATCCTTGGTCTATATAACAAAGTARCATCAGTTTTGGTTGATGTCTGTTAAGTGGCTATTTGACACTAGAGTATGCTTTGCGTGGGCATTTAACTGAGAAGGCTGATGTGTTTGGATATRGTATTGTTGTTCTAGAGATCATTAGTGGACAGCCAAATTTTTACTCCAGCTTGGATCCAGAGAAGATATATCTTCTTGAATTGGTAAAAAAATGAAATTTGTTGTTTTCACTTGCACTATTTAYAGACATATAATCCCTTACTGTGTTTTTCATTTTTGTTTGATCATTTAGGCGTGGAATCTACATGAAAATAACTGTGAGATTGAACTCATTGACCCAAAATTGAGTGAATTTGATGAAAAAGAAGCCTGCCAACTTATAAGACTAGCTCTATTATGCACTCATGTATCACCAGCGTTGAGTCCCAACCAAAATTTGTAAGCCCGTATTTGTCTTTAATAAGCCTTCTCCAGAGGCTGCATCTTTCCTTGTTGAACCTGAGTCTCAACCAAAATTTGTAAGCCCTTATTTACAATTTTGATGCACATGTGGAAAGGAAAGGGACCAACTTAGGTGACCACTTGGGTACTGGGATCATGAGTTGGTTGACAAGTTGCACATCCTCGGGATGTTTCTGCAATCCATCCTCAGTTGAAACATGAATGGAAGTGGCACCTCTTTAAAGAAATTACAGATAACAAGAAGTTATAGCTTTCTAGAGAAGGTTGAGGAGCTCTGGAACCATACTCACAAGGAGAATTCCAGTGCTAGCACAGCTGATGAAGCCTTCTCCTACAGACATTGGAATGGAGAATGCTTGGACAGGGTTTCAGTCCCGGAGAGCAACTGCACGAAAGGTATGTGCTGGCTCTGCATCTGTTATCCTTCAATATTTGATGTTATATTTGAAATCTTTTATTTTTATTTTTCTAATTGGTTAAGTTTTAAGCTGATTGCCTTCTTTTTATAGTAATCACTTCACACATACATGTAACATATAGAAGAAAGAATAATTTATTACCTGGAATTTTGAGTAAAGTTGGAACAACCCACTGGAAAAACTAGGTGCAGTCAAGTTGTTGAAAGGAACCTACTTAGTTCAGGCTGCACACATTCTCACTTCTGTATGGAAAAACTATATGTGGAAAAATTGATTTTTAGGCTACACACTTCTTCACTTCTTTCTTGGAACCCAGTTCTTAGAAATGTTGACTTGCTCGAACAAATCTCAAATATATGCATCTAGCTATAATACTATTGTTTTGGACCTCTTTTGATATAAAAAAAGTTCTAAAAATATAATCTAGATATATATWTTTTATTTTGTATTTTTATTGGAACAAGTTGGTGAATTATCAAATCAGACAATCGAACCAATATTCGAGCTGTGACCCTTTGTGTCTGATCCGAGTTTGAGAATATTGCTAACATGTAAATGAGATTCTGGTGCAGACCTGCACCTAAATAGAAATGCATGCACCTTCAAGTGTGTAAGTACAGACGACCATAGGTGGTTTATATTCACATACTCGAAGTCCAAGGTGCATTTTGTAATGTAAATCCAACAATGGATCGATTCAACTAAATTAATAGCTAGGTAATCTGCAGACCCCAGAGCTTGAGATTAATTTGTGAATACCTGTCATGGCTTCCCACATTCAATACTGTGATGATGACAAGACCAGGGGTTGAAGGAACTGGGTTATGAACTTCACAAGAGCCTTTACTAATTTGCAGCTATAAAAGAGAAACTTCAGTGTAAAGAACTAAATTAAAGCATAAATCCATATCTATATATCAGGTTTAATTTACGGGAACAGCAAAACATATATTACTTAGAGTGAGGTGCGTGTTAAGTAGTCATGTCTCCTGGATCAATAGAATAAGTGAATCTATATCATGCAGTTACCCCAGTGAATCACCTTGTTTTGCCATGAAAACCACTGTGAAGTGCCCAACGTACACCCTCCTCGCTTTGCTGCAATCTCTTTGTACATTACAGAAGACAGGACAAGCTCAACATATTGCCCCTGCTATTTGATAGGTTTAAGCTTCCAAAACTCATCAAACCTTTGGGGCATGTGGTTTGAGTTCTCAAAACTCAACATATTGCTTTTCCATACAGAAGTAAAAATGTATTTTTATTTTGTATTTTTAGCCTGAACTCAGCAAGGCTGCACACATCCCAATTATTTGTATGGGATACTGCAGTCTAGTCCTAGTTATTATCAATTTTGCAGTGATGTTTCCAACTCTACAAGACCTCGGGAACATGTTTCTTCTGATATATCTTCAGATTTTCCTTCTATATCCAACACCGTGGTTGAAGGGAATACTTGCTCACAGACACACATGGAAGGTCTGAGTACGGGTGATGACAACTGTGAAGATATTGGAAAAAGACTTAAAAATCTATCTCTGATATCAGAATTTGAAACCCTGGATGGTGATCATAAGGTCTCATTTGCAACATTGTTAACAATTTGTGGGCAATCGGCTCCTTCAACATTATTGGATGTCTTCTCCCAGTATTGGTTGGTTTCTTCCCAAAGTGCTTGAATTCTTTTTTAGTTGTCCTTTATCCTCTTAATTCTGGATTATTGTTGTTGGATGTCATTTGAGTCAGTGTTATGGTAGTATTCTGTTATTTTCAGTGATGATTTATCAGAAGATGCATAAGGATCCTTGTTCTTTCTTTTATTTTAAATTTGTGTGAAGGTGTCAGCATGTTTCAACTTGAATACATAATATGATATTGGTCATATGTTTCCTTTTATATTTTCTCCTTTCCTTCCATTGTAGAATTTGGAAATGCATTTTATGAGCTCAACAACTCCAAACTATCTAATTATTTGGTGCCAAGAATAACATTTTTTGCTTATTGATAAAGAAAAAGAAAAGTGTTTGTTTGATATAATTTAGGAAGATGACATTGCATTTAATGGAAATTTGAAACTTTCTTGGGATCAGTGATCCAAACAGTATTATCAAGATTGGTGAAGGAACATATGGAGAAGCCTTTGAGGCTGGTGCAACCATTTGCAAGATAGTGCCTATCGATGGAGACTTTAGAGTGAACGGTGAAGTGCAAAAGGTATCAACCATTTTCTTTTGTCTTATGATCTCAACAATGAAACTCTGAGGATATAGATATACATTAAACATAACCACATAAATGATTAATGTTGTCATTGAATGGTAGTCGTGCAGCTTGGTGTGATCTTCTTCTTCTTTTTTAATGAAATTATGCTATAACATAGACTTAAATTTTTCATCTAATTCACCACTGGAATTTGAAGTTTTCTTTTTCAGTTCTAAGACTTCTAATCTACCCCCTCCAAAAAAAAACATTGGTGTTAGTTGTATTGTAATTTAGAAAGTGCTTCTGCTATTCTCATTATTTCATGATTTTGTCACTCATCTTACTCCAGGTGTCAGCTGAATTGCTTGAGGAGGTCTTACTTGCCAGACTCTTAACCGTTTAAGAAGACATGATGGTCATGTTTCAAATGCATCTACAACATTCATTGAAACATTGAAGTATGCCAACTGCCCCTAGTACCATGACCATGCTATTTGTATTTTAATAGTTCCAAATGGGACTTTGGATCTACTGCAAACACGGGCACATGTGGGATCCATGTGTACGGAACACCGGCATGTTCACTCGTGATTGGTTATGTAGTTCGTTTTACACACCAGTGTTTGAAGCAGATCTTGACTGTCCCAATGGTGGTTAGCTTCCCTGTTTTATTGATAACGTAGGAGGACTGAATATGTTGTTTTTTGCCATATTAAATAGTTCCTAGGTGCAATAGAGGCCATTTTTTCTTTTTTTTTTCCTTTTATTTTTGGTATCTATAATAGAGGCCATTTCATGGTGCAATGGTAAAATCTTGGACCCGAGAAGAATGACAACATGGGTTTGAGTCTGAATTGCCAGTTCATGAAAACAATGGCAAATGAATCCGTGGGTTGTGTTTTATTTGTTTGCTTTTGATGTAGTGCCCATGTGGGTTTTCATGTCAACCTTAGTTTCTTTTCCTATCTAATACTAGTATTTTTTGCAGGTCAAATTGGAACAAGGAATCGAAATGTTGAACATTTTCAAGAATTATGAAATTGATGTGTCCATCCTGGATGATTTCGATTTTTACAAGGATCACCAGAAAGCCATGAAGGAAAGGAAGAAATAGCAAGCTAGCTTGATGGTTGTCCCCGTTGGTGGCAATGAGCACCGAAATCCAGTCTCAATATCTAGTGGCTTCATAAAATAGATGACCAAGAGATTTGTTCAAGTTGTTAGGTTGGAAGAAAGTGGTAAAGAAGACCTAATAACAGAGAAGGGTGGCTCTACTGTTGCTATAGCTGTAGGTGCTAGAGTTAAATCTGAAGATGCGTTACATTATTCAAGAAGATTTTTTTAAATGCCTTGTACCGTTTTATATGTCAATTGGATATTGTATATAAGCAACTTGTTTTGGATATTACAATAATTAATAATTTAATTAAAAGTTTTTTTATTTAAATTGATTTTTATGTATTATTTGTCATGAGATCTATATTAAACAGGTACTAAAAAATGTAGAAATCAAATTGATATAAATAATGAAAAAAAAGACAAACTGGCGGTCATACAGCCGTTGCCTTGGACATAAAAAAAGACTGATGTCGGCGGTCCAAAGAGATCTAAGCTGGCGGTTCGGATCGCCAGCTAAAAATAGAAACAACAGTTTGGCTGACCTAAGGTGGCAGTCCAAAGAGATCTAAGCCGGCGGTCCAGATCGCTGCCTTAAAATGGAAGAAATACTTCGACGGACCTAAGGACCGTCGCCTTTATTAACTCTAAGCCGGCGGTTTTGACATACCGCCCGTTTAGAAATGATTGAACCACATTGGACCGGACCTTAAAGGTGGCGGTCTTTTTTGTTTAAGCCGGCGGTCTTGACCTAGGCTGGCAGTGGTTTAGGGGGCGGATTCATGACCACTGCCTTAGGTCTAAGCCGGCGGTCCTACGTCCGCTGGCTTTGATCATTTTTGTTGTAGTGATAGTATCATCAACATATATAGTATTTTATTTTCTTGTGTATCATATCATATATGAAAAACACATGTCATTGCCCTTGATAAATAGCCCCAACATTCTTGAATCTAATGTGAATTTGTTGATAGTAGAAATTCCTTATAGGTGTTTTGAAAGCTGTATGGGAAACATCTAAGGTATCCATGAAGATTAATTTGGTTATAATCATTATAGATGCCGTTGCATCTATGAATATCTCCTTCTTAGGGAAGGGGAATTCATCCTTGGGGCAAGCCTTATTGAGATCCTTCAAATTGGCACAACACCTATGGGAGGTTGATGTATCTAGGTTAGTTTCAGTACAATGTGAATTAGGGCGATTTCTAGTGTTTGTATACTAACCTGACTTGGCCATGGGGCTAGGGTGCAAGCAGATATGGCCATGGGCTAAGTAGGAAGGTGTGAGGTTCCGGAATCCAAACTTCAGGTAGAAAAGTTAGACTTGAAATCAATTATAAACATGATTGAAAATGACCAGAATATAAAAATATAGATAAAAAAACTTAAGTAATACATTTACAAATAGCAATAATAAACATGATTGAAAAAACTTGTTAAACTTGAAATCAACAAATTAAAGATTGAAATTAGCAAATTTATACTCAACAATGAAGATAATCTTCACAAATATTAAGAAGAAGATGCAAAATACGTATACGTAGCTTTCAGGGACGAGACCAAATCAGCCCCCCACAAGATTGCTCTCCACAACTTTCCACAGCACATCCTCGCTGTGTATTGAAAATATCTTCTGATGATAATCTCAGAAATGATGATGTCATCATCGAGAGATGTTCTCAATACATGACTGGAATGTGCTGTGGGGCGTTGTGGGAGGCAATCTTGTGGGGGGCTGATTTGAACTCTTCAGCTACAGGGCCTTGACTCTTGAGGTTGGGGATGAGAGGTTGCACGGTCAGTAAACAAAAGGGAGGAAATACTGCAACGTAGAACTTAGCCTCAGTTTGAAAAGGGTACAAACTGAGCCCTAGGATGTGCAACATGGGACTAACAAGATAACTGCAATATATATTCTCCTAGAATATATAGAAGAAAACAAATACTGCAATTAATGTAGAACTTAGGCTCAGTTTGGAAAGGGTAGAAATACAAATATTTACAGTACAAATATCTACAAAATAATATAAAATACAAGGTTTTACACTCCACATATTTGTATTTGTACTACTTCCAAACTGAGCCTTATGATGTGTTTGGTTGCTGTGCAAATAAATTTGAACTGATACCATGACAGTGCAAATTATTTGATTGTAAATTCTGACCTATTTTTGTTTCAAATTTTGGCTTATTTTGATTGGTTGCAGTACAAATGAAGTAAATTAAGACATGAAACAGAATAAAGTAAAATCAAAAACAAAATTAAACATGAATTTGCATTTTTTACATTTACATTCTAATGCATTTGTACTAGTGCAAATAAATTTACACTGCAACCAAACACAACCTTAATACTGTATCATGAAACAAATGAATATTTTGCTTTTCTTTATCAACACAAAAAATCAGTAAGTAATAATATATTCTTATTATGTGTGTATTGATTTTTAAATCAGTAATTTCAGAAAATAATTTTAAGTAACTAAAATTTCCTACTTACAATTTTTTAATAACAATCAGTATTAATAATATAATAATAATATTTTAATAATTATAAAATCAGTAGTAATAATAATATTACAATCATAATTATAATATTAATAATAATGATATTATTATTATTATTATTATTATTATTATTATTATTACTATTAAGTGATAATATATTCTTATTATGTTAACAGCAAGTAATTTTGTTAATTAATTATTATCAATAATTAATTATAAGTAATTATTATCAGTAATTAATTATTTCTGTTGGGAATTAATTATCATTAATTATTATTGGTAAGTAAAAAATCGTTATTAATTATCTCTTGGGAATTTGAATAGTCCGAATTAATGTGTATCATTATTATCACTAAGTATCATTATTAATAGTTCGAATTTAAATCATTATTAATTATCTGTATTTTAAAATATAAATAACAGTATTTATTAATATTCATTAATAAATTAAAGAAGTATTAAAGTTTGTAATAATAATGTGAACCACCCTTGAACCGAACTCGACAACCCGAGAACCCTCATAATGAACATCAGGCATAAAACGGGTTGAACATAGACCCGACCCGACCCGACAACCCATATGATTCCTCTTCTTCGCCCGAATTTCAATTCGTTCGGTCGTTAGAGCCAGGAAAAAAGGATGCTGCGACAGCCAAAAAATGGGTGCTTTACCACATTTTCAAGAACAAAACAGGTTTAAAAGATTAACATAGTACAAAATGTTTAAATAGAAAACTAAAAAATCAAACAAAACTAAATATATATATATATGAAAAAGTTTCAGTCGCTGATAGAGCAACCAAAACAGTAGGCTTCGGCAGATAAAAATGGGTGCTTTACCAACCATTTCAACAACATATGAAGTTTAAATAACAAATGTTTAACTAAAACAGAGATTCATACAGGAAACAAATGTTTAACGAAAACATATGAAGTTTAAATAACAAACTAACCGGATTGAAAGCGGTTCTCTGAAAATGAAGTTTGAAGAAATCAGGCTAAGCGCTTAGGTTCGAATGAGGATTGAAAGCGTTTAGGTTTGAATGAGGATTGTAGTTTCACAAAGGAGATTCCTTGAACCAAGATGGCCGTCAACTGTGCAAGAACCAAGATAGCCGTTAGGATCTGTGCATCCAAGAACCAAGATGGCCGTTTTCCATTCATTAACATGTCAAAAAACAGGAAAAAATGATCAAAGAATTCAGAGGAAAAGAAAAAAGCAGTAATGAACACTTTTCATTCCATTCCTTATTTTTCTATCAAACCAAACACAACTTTATAAAATATTATTATGGTGGATTATATTTTGATTTTTTAACTATAATTTGACTAATTGACTTATCTATTAATTGTATTAGTACAACAATACCTTCTACATAGGTATAATATTTATAAAGCAAGGTTGTTCAGGTCATCATGCATCTCCTTGCTTCAAACCCTTCTTCCTAATTTCCTTCTTTTTATTTTAAATTTTGCATTTTTTTAATTCTATATAATTATCCATTAAACCAATAAGGAAATAACATAGGCGAAATTATCTCTAACAACAATAGATAAAGAAAAAGAGATTTGCTTTTCTAATGTCTAGCCAAGTGACACTACTATCCCCCACTTTCTCCTAAATTATCTCTAATTCCTATTAATCTCCTAAATTATCTCTAATTTATTAGAAAGCTAGCCGGACTAGTGCAATGCACGAGTTTTGTTAAGCGAAAGTTAAACAATAGAAACACATAAGAATAGACCATTGTTTTATATTTTAAAATTTTAAATGATTAATAATTATTTATATTTTATATACCATTTTTAATAAGATTTTTGCAATACAAATAATAATAATTAATTTCAGCTAGGGTTGTTCATCAAACTGATGGAATCGATCAAATTGAACAACCCAAACCAACTCAACCTGAGTTGGTTGTTTTTATAGTATTTTCGGCCAGCTTCGGTTCAGCAACTCCCCAACCTACCAGGTTGGGTCAGTTTCGATTTGGCCATTTGTAAAGAAACCAAAATTGAACAGACCTGACCATATATATATATATATATATATATATATTATTTTATATTTTTAATATGGGGAAGTGGGAAAATTCTCATATTTCTTAGTCTAAAATATTTTATATTACAAATTTAAAATTTTTAATGTATTTGAACCAAACAACTAAATCAAAAATTGACCCAAATTGATACAACCAGAGTTGGCCAGTTTTCACTAGTGGTCGGTGGGTTTCAAGTGACCAACTCCCCAACTCAACTCGTGAACACTCTTAATTTCAACTAAATTAATAGTTTAATCTCCTATAAATAACAATAGTCTAATCTCCAATAATTATTGACAATTTATAGTGAGAATGTAGAACTATTGGAAATAATTTTATAATGAAAATGCAATAAATACAATAATTATGAAATAAATATAATAAATATTTAAAATTTTCACTATTTAAATTGTATTTATTTGAATAGTTGAAATTTTATAATTTAAGTTTCTACTTAAATTACCAAATTCAGTAATTTTTAGTAAGAAATTTGAAAAAATTATTAAAGATCATTGATATGAATAAAGTGATTTTCAAAAATTTCTATATTTATGAACAATTAATTACTGAAAATGTTAGAATAAATTAACATTTTAATTATTGTAAATGTTGAAAATTTTCATTAATATCAGTAAATTACTGATATAAATAATTTTATTAGTAATTTTTACTTCTTTATGCCTTTTCGATGTTTCTAAATAGTTTCCATTTTCATTTTTAAAATTATTTTGCATTTTTTATATTTTTCAATAATTTTTAGTTTTTATAGGAAAGTGGAAAATTCCCATATTTCCTAGTCTAAAATATTTTATAATTGTAAATTTAAATTTTAAAATTTATTCTTTTTCTAATATCATTGTAATATTTTAAATTTAATGTAATTCTTTAAGTTTAAATCTTTTGAACACCAACCAAACTGAAAATTGACCCAAATTGATACCAATGTTTTAAACCCACCATTGACTTGACCAGTTTAACCATTCGAACCGTCACTTGACCTAGGTTCTGGGTTTAGTGGGAACTTGTGCAATGCATGGACTTTGTTAAGCAAAAGTTAAATATATAGAGTGCTGACATGGAACGGTCTAATCCATTTGACTCGGATGATTGAACCGGTGATCGTAACCCAAATACAAAAGCAGGTTAGTCTTCGGGTTGGTTTTCAAAAACATTGATTGATACAAATTAAGTTGATCAGTTTTCACTACTGGTCAGTCAGTTTCAAGTGACCAACTTCCAAGCCTGACTAGTGAACAATACTCCTAATTTCAGCTAAATTAATAGTCTAATCTCTAACAAATAACAAGAGTTAAATCTCCAATAATTATTGAAAATTTATAGAAAAGATACACAATTACTGAAAATATATCACTAATGGTTAGTCAATTTCAAGTGACCAACTTCCAAGCCTGACTAGTGAACAATACTCCTAATTTTAGCTAAATTAATAGTCTAATCTCTAACAAATAACAATAGTTAAATCTCCAATAATTATTGAAAATTTATAGAAAAAATACACAATTACTGAAAATATATTTATAATGAAAATACAATAATTAACTAATAAAAAGCTTCAATACATCTAAGTTATTTAATCTACATTATCTCAAATTCCTATTTATCCTCTCCCCCACTTTTTATCTACATTATTTAAATATTATAATAAAATTATATAATAACTTCGAAATATTTATTAAAAACACAAAAAAGATAATTAGAATAGATTTAATAACATTCATATTATTCATACAGAATTCGTTACAAAATTATGTACTAACAATATAAATTATAATTTTATGGATTAATCAATTTAAATGTTATTCAAATAATAAAATTTAAATATTTCAATAACTAAATATCTTAAATAAAAAATATTCAAAATAGAAAAATAATTATACAACAAAACATTTAATATTACATAATAAATTTAAAATAACAAAAAATGTTAAATATTTTACATATTATTTAAGTATTTAAATAACTAAATATTTTAAATAATGAAATGTTAAACATAATGAAATTTTAAATATTTAAAATAACGAAATTATGTAATAAATTTAAAAAATTTCTTAAAAGTAGAAAAATAATTACAATATATTCCACAATATTATCATTAATAATAATTTAATATTTTACAAAATTAATAATGAAATGATGTATTTATAGTATAAATTATAATTTTACAAATTATTAAATTTAATAACTAGTTAATATTTTAAAATTTTAAATAATGATACTATTTAAATAACTAATGTCACTAATATCAATTAATAGTTCTAGAAAATAAATTTGAAAAAAAATATTTATTAATAATAATTTCAAAGTCTTAATATATTTGTTATATATTTATTTATACTAAAATTAATATTTATTGTATTTTAAGTAATTATTTATTGTATTTTTGTGATAAATATATTTCTAGTAATTATGTATCAATATAATTTTGTTTTGTTATTTAACAAAAAAAATTTCAATAATTGTTGGAGATTAAACTATTGTTATTTAACTTTTTTGATTTAATTTGTTGAACTTATTGTATTTTTGTTATAAATTTATTTTTAGTAATTATGTATTTTTGTTATAATTTGTTGAATAATATTTATTAAAGATTAAATTATTTTTGTGATTACACTATTTATTGACTAGCTAATTTAATATATTTTCATTATTTATTGTATTTTTACTAGTTATTTATTGTATTTTTATTATAAATTTAGTTTCAATAATTGTATTTTCATTATAAACTTGTTTTCAATAATTGTATTTTTGCTATAAGTTTTCAATAGTCACATGTCTATTCAGTTTAGTTGTAGGTTGTTTGGCCGACCAAATCGACCTGGTCAGGTTGGGGAGTTGGTCACCCAAAGCCGATTGACCATTAGTAAAAACTAACCAACTCAGGTTGTATCGGTTTGGTCGGTTGGCTTAAAAGATTTAGTATAAAAAACTAAATTAAATTTATGATATAAAATAGTTTAGACTAAGAAATATATGAATTTTCTCACTTTTTTGTTTACAAAAATATATATTTAAAATATAAAATATTAATATATATCTATAGTTGGGTCGGTTCACAAATGACCAAACCGAAATTGACCCAACCTATTTGGGTTGTGAAATGGTTGAACCTAATCCAATCGAAAATACTAGAAAACCAATTAACTCGAGTCGAGTTGTGTCAAGGTGGTTGATTTCATCAGTTTGATCAACAACCCTACCTGAAATTAATTATTGTTACTTTTTTTGTTGTAAATAATAATAATAGTATATAAAATATAAATAATTATTAATCATTTAAATAATTAAAATATAAAATAATTATATACTCTTATATATTTCTATTGTTTAGTTTCCGTTTAACAAAGTCCCATAGATCACACAGATCCCACTGGTATGATATATATTTGAATTTAACTTTTATGACTTATACTCAAACCAAAACAAACATCTGCTTTAATAATTGTAGCAAAATACATCCGATAGATATTTGAATGGGGGAATAAAAAAAGAGAGCACATATTCCTTCTAGGATGTCAACACCAAGAGGCATAATTATCCGAAAGAGAGCTAAGCGAATCAGATTTCTTCCCACCCATCCCAAACGAATAAAAGCTAGCCCGGGTCCCAGCATTGTACTGAATTTATTTCTTTCTTATTTCCTACGACTCAACTTTTTATCAAAAAAACTCATTGGGTCACGAACCGGTTCATTGAAGGTCAAGTGATTCATGACTAGGATCTGAAAATAGGGATGATCATGGGCCAGGCCAGGCAGGGCTTACCACCTGAGGAAAGGGATTTGATCCCTTTAACCCCCCAACCCACTGAGTGATTTTGACCGTTTTTTATGTATAAAATAAATATTTTATATCAAGGTTTTCAAAATTGGATCAGACAAGAAATCGTTTTGGGTCCGGTTCTTGGGTCAAACAGTTCAATTGTCTGGTCCAAACAGATTGTCCGCTCTGACAAAAAAGTTAAAAAAGCAAAAAAACAATCAAAAATCATTATCTAAGTCAACAATTCGATCACCTAAGTCAGCGGTTCTGATCAAATCAATGGTTTTTAGCCAAAAGACGATTTTGAAATAAAACGGGTGACCAATTCCTGATTTTTCTGGTCCAACTGTCCAGTGTGATCCGGTTTTGAGAACACTATTTTATATTAATTATATCCAGTATAATATATATCATTGGTGTATGTATGTAGGTGGGGCCAGAAGTATTATTGGGGAAAACTGTAGGCCTGATGTGCACCAGCACTAGATTAGAACTGAACACAACCTGACAACCCTCTTGTTGTGGTTGATACCTTGTTGATATAATTCGCATCTTCTTTCAACATCCATTTGCAGCTCAGAATTAATCGTAGATGCCTTTTGTCCATTTCACTTATGTCCACCTTCCCACTAATACATCCCATTATTAAACATTCGGTTTTATCTCCTCATGCATATAAATACCGTCTAATTACTCCTTAGCTCCCAGACTATCTGAAATACTTGAAAGGGTACGTCTTAATTCATAAACAAGAGTGAGATGTAAGTTTTCTTTTGCAACCCTTGGTTTCTCTGCTATTAAAAAATTGAATAAATAGATTCTCATTTACAGTAGGTTTGCTTCTCTTCAGAAAATTTTACCTCATCAGCGATGGGCGAGAGAATCATAAGTATTGAAGATTATTGTCCAGCATTGTCTAATGAGCTGACTGTAGTTTTACTTGGAAGTACTGGGAGCGGCGTAAGTGCAACTGGAAATACCATCCTGAAAAGCTCTGCCTTCGCCTCAAAACGCAGTTTGAGTTCAGTTACACGTACTTCTGAAATGGAGCAATCTGTCGTAGATGGCAGAGTTGTGAAAGCTATCGACACTCCTGGTATGTTTTGGTTGAAGAGTTTTATTGTCTGCTTTTGTTTATTCTTTTTTTTTCGGGAAACACCAGAATTTCATTCAGCAAAAGAATCAGCAGAATACAGTTGAATAAAACCATTCAGAGCAACATAATATGCTTTTGTTTAATAGCTAAGAGGATGATATATTACAATAAAACTTAAATCACAGAGAGCCAAACAGAAATTTAATTTTTTTATTGTGGGTGTTTGGTTTCATTTATGTTTATGGGCGGCCGTTTATTTATGCTTTTTCACTTTAAACGTTTTTTACTTTAAATGTTTTTTACTTTAAACGTTTTCAGTTTTTATTGTTTGGTTGGGTTTCATTTTAAAGGTTTTTTATTCTCTACCTCAAATTAATACATATTAAAGTGTGACACATCATCATTTGATTTCAAGAAACATTGGGACATTGGGGAAACAAGAACTTGGCATTTCCCCAAATGCCCTCCCTATACACAAAAATCAAAGCGTTTCAGTTTTTACCGTTTATTTGATAAACAGTGAAACCAAACAGTTATTTCATCTTGTTTCATATGTAATAAATGCCAACGCCTATGTGGCGCTAATGTAACGACGTTTTTTCAATAAACGTCAACGGAACCAAACGCATATCTTATGTTTTATAATTTAGTTAATTAGTTGTACAAGGAGAGATGATTGGGATGTTGTAAAAAAATGAAAAGAAAAGAAATCACTCTTTTTTTTATTCATATAGCTTGAGTCGGATAAGTCTTAGGTGGCGTTTGATAATGCTTTTAAGAGGTATGAATCTGAAAATATTACTTTTTAGACTCCAGAAATGTTTGATTATACATCTTAAAATTGATCTGAAATTGAATTTCAGATCTGAAATATTTAGATCGCGGGCCATCACTGAACGGGCTACACGTGTTTCAGATGTGTTTGAAGGTCTTAAAATGCCCCTCATAATATTGAAATGGACATCCCTTTTTAAACCCATTTTTTTTCATTCGACTCCTAACCATCGGTGATGTAGACAAGACTCGAAGGGCGTTCTCTCTCCCTCCCTCCCTCTTTCTCGCTTTCTCTCTCCCTTGTCTTCTCGTCAGCCGCCACTGTCGCTGTTCTTAGTCGACCGACAACAATCTTGTTTGATTTCTCAACAACAGCGTTCTCAATCGGTGGTCTTGTTCGATTTTCCTCTCCCTCCCTTCCTCTTTCTCACGTTCTCTATCCCTTGTCTTCCCGCTGGCCGCTACTATCATTGTTCTCAGTCGGTTGGTGGCAGTGCTATTCAATTTCTTAGTAGCAGAGTTTTCAGTTGGCGGTCCTGTTCGATTTCCCTCTCCCTCCCTCCCTCCCTCCCCCATCTTCCTGCCAGCCGCCACTATCGTTGTTCTCAATCGGCAACGTTTGAAGGAAACCCTAGATATAGGCAGTAACAAGATTTGAAACCCAACTCCAACAACAGTTCTCAGTCAACAACATCAGTTTGAATGAAATCCTCGATCCAGATAGTAATGAAGATTTGAAACCCAGCTCCAACAATGACAACTCCTATGCTCTTTTCTGGCGGAGAGCCAGATAACACTAGGGAGTTGATGGAGATTTGAACGGCTCGAGTTCTCTGTCTGTAGAGTTCATGAGAGGGAGAAGGAAGCGACAGGGAAAGTTTCGAGAGAATCTGAATTATAACTTATAAATTTATTTATAATAATTATCAAATTATAGATTTATTTTAAATTTATATTTTTATTAAATATTAATGTTTTTATTTTTTATAATTTTTATTTGTATTAATTATTAATTATTTTATAAATTTTTAATAGTTTTAATTTAATAATTTGATAATTATTAAATATTTTTTCATTGTTTCATGGACTTTATTACTATTTTTGTTATTATTTTAACTCTTAATAATTTATTTTTAATATAAATTTATATGTATTTTTCAATTTTATTCTTATTTTAATAAATAATTTTTATTTTTTATAATTTACTCATATTTTTAATATTATTTTGAATTTAATAAATTAATTTATATGAAATAATGAAAATCGAACTCAAAATTACCACATAGTCTATTTTAGGGGTAAAATAGTAATTTAGGGAATTCTAGATGTTGAAAGGTTGATCCAACACAAACAATTTTATCTATTGAGAGCCTCTAAAAAGTAGAAAAGCATTCATACCTCTTCTCAGATTTCAGACACTTTTAATATATTTTTAACTTTTCAGATCTAAAATTTCAGATTTATCAAATGCCACCTTGCTTTTTTTGACACTCTTTTCGCAACAAATTGTGAGACCTTAATTCCAAAAATTGAGAAGTACAATACTAGCCATTTCCCACCTCACCTATAGCATCTTTCAATAAAAAAATGGGAAACATTCATTTCCATCATTTCCCTTTCCCACAGACCAAGCCTATGGCAATGCTTTTTTCTTGTTTTATTTAGGCTCTGTTTGGAAGTACAAATGCAATTATGTAGAGTGCAAAACCTTGTATTTTGTATTATATTACTTGTATTTGTACTGTACAATTTTGCATTTGTACTCCTTCCAAACTATACATGTGTATTTATACACACAAAATAGTTCAAAGTACAGGGTTTTGCACTGTACATATTTGTATTTATACTCCTTCCAAACTGAGCCTTAAGGGTAAATTACATATAGGTACCCTATACTTTGGGGGTAATGATAGATAGGCATCTGAACTTTCAATTGCAATACTTGAGTACCCTGAACTTTAAAAAATAAACACTTGGTCCATCCGTTAGTATTCCATTAGTTAAAAATGACATAATACCAAAAATACCCTTCTTGTATATTTTTGAGATCATTCTCAAGTAAAATGTCTCCCCATGATGACATTCTCACATGGACAGCAAATAATATATTCAAATTTTCCAACAAGGGCATTCTCTAGTGATGATTTTACTCCGCAGAGTGATCTAAAAAATACACAATAAGGGCATTTTTGTGATTATGTAATGTTTAACTAACGGAATAATAATGGATGGATCCAAGTGTCTATTTTTTAGAGTTCAGGAAACTCAAGTGTTGCAATTGAAATTCTAGGGTATCTATTTGTAACTTATCCTTTATTTAACCAATCCTTGTACCAAAATGTCAAAAGCCCAAAACATGGGATATAAAATCATTTAGAACCCTAATGCCTATAACTAGGAAACACCTTGTGGAGAACTTTCCCTGGAGGATATGAATATCTCACTTAGAAAGGCCCTTAGACAAGTGGCATCTTAGGCCATGTTTGGTTGCCTCATTCTCGTAATTCTTGCTCATTTCAAGAATGGGCAATAATGAATAACATTAGAGTGTTTGGTTACAAAATTCTTTCCAATGACCACATTCTTTTTAGAATGAAAAATCAACATCAGAACACAAAAATTGACTAGCCTACAACATGAAAAATAATCATGCCCCATCTTGCTCATTTCATTCTTTGAGGAAACTCTACCTATAAAACTATTATCATAGATGTTTACTTTTGCAAAAGCACTTTTACAAATGTACTTTTATGAAAACACTTTTATAAAAGTACTTTTACGAAATCACTTTTATAAAACTACTTTTACATCAAAGCACTTTTATGAAATCACTTTTACAAAAGCACTTTTATGAAAATACTTTTACATGAAAGCACTTTTGTGGAAATACTTTTACAAAAGTGCTTTTATAAAAGCACTTCTATGGAAGTACATTTATGAAAATACTTTTATGGAAGTACTTTTACGAAAGTACTTTTGTAAAAACACTTTTACGGAAATACTTTTATGGAAGCACTTTTATAAAAGTACTTTACTAAAGCACTTTTATGAAAGTACTTTTATAAAAGCACTTTTATGAAAGTACTTTTATAAAAGCACTTCTACGAAAGTACATTTTACAAAATATCTATGCCAATTGGTAAACATTGACTATTGAAGACCTAGGCTGGCGGTTTGTGAATACTTGCACAATTTTTTTTTTTTTAAGAATGAAAATGAGCAACATAGGACACTTGTTAGTCTAAAAAGAATTCATTTTTACGAAAAAAACGTTTGGTTCATAGCAATATTTTCTCATTCTGCCTATTTTTACCTATTCTTTTCCATTTTAGAATTTCATCTTGGGTAAGAATGAAAAAGAATGAGAGTTAAACCAAACATGGCATTATTTTTTCAAGAAAGAGCATTTCAATTAAAAGTGGTTATTCTCAGACTCAAACAAAAAGCCTCTTTCTTCAAACATGTGTTCATCCACTCAAATGGTAGTTACCTCTACTCTCAAAAACGTCGGGGGTATTTACATCTAAAAAAAAGGAAAAAAAATAAAAACTCATTCCAAATAAATTTGGATCTGTAAAGTGGGTTATTAATTAAAAATAAAACTTGATTTAATTTTTTAAATTAAATAATAAAGATATACATACAAAAATTAAATAAAATAATAAACTAAATTTATAAAATAAAAAATGAGTGTCAAACAAAATTTATTAAAATACATGAATAAAAAAATCAGAATACTAGCCATACAGAATATCATTTCATGGTTTATAAATGTATAAGAACCCTTGTATCACAAGAAAATGGCCATAAAAGGTACGGAACTTTACAAAGAGGGCTCTATTTAACTTTAGAATTTAAAGAACTAAATCCCGAACATTAATAGCATCAATAATTTCATTCAATTATTCCGATAAAATGTTATTTATCTCCATAAGAGATAGAAAATGCATCTTATTTTAAGTTTTTTTTACCTTTCAGGGCTTCCAATTATGATCAAACAGTCAAACTGCTGTTAAATAAAATATTAAGGGTTCGACTATGATACTGAAAAACTTGTCACCAATGAATCGGTGTCATAAAACTTGGTAATCAATCACTTGGTCTTAATCAAAATTCACCGGGGTTTTTGAATGGTGAATACCTCTCCGGTATTATCATGTCTCTCTAGCTTGCAGTATAGATTTTTCCAAATATTGATGGATTTTTTTTTTGCAGGACTCATTAATTTTTCACTTGGAGCTGATTTCGTCATCAATGAGATTGTTAATTGTATTAAATTAGCGAAGGATGGGATCCACGCAATTGTTGTGGTTTTATCTCTTAATTCCCCTTTTAGGAAAGAGGAAGCAACTGCAATCCAAAGCCTAAAGATTCTTTTTGGAGCTAATATTACCAATTATGTGATCATTGTTTTCACTCATGAAGATGAACTGGATGATGATGAGACATTAGATGATATCTTGGCTGGTGAATGCAATCAGCCTTTGAAGGTTATGTTTCACTTCGAAATCAACCTTTCTTTTATTGTGAAATTTGATTTGTTTGTCACTACTGTATATGTTTTTAGGGGTGTCAATTGGATTGGATTTGGTCGAATCCGATCCAGTTCAATGTGAGTCTATTATAAATGGATTAGGTCCAATCCAATCTAATGAATGTTTTGGACCAATTTGGACCAGTCCAGTTCAATGTCTGGACCATTCAATCTGTTCAAATTCATTTTGATTTAGATTGGTTTCAACCCAAACCTGGTCCATTGACACATATATCCTTATCTTATATTAATAGATCAGATATTGGCTTAACCCAACCCAAACCAATATAAATTTGTTATGGACGGACCAGGTCCAATCCAATTTAATAAATATTTTCGATCGGATTGGTCCAATCCAATATGTCTTGTTGGTCCGCCAATCGTTCCAAATTGATTTTGGACTGGACGAGGTCCAATCCAAAACCGGTCCATTGACACCTTTATATGTTTTGTTGATCATGATACTATTATTTCATTTAGTCATACACGGATATTTTATGAATTAATATTAGAAAAATGATTACTAATTACCACTTAATTTTTGTCATTCACTGAAATAAATTAATTAAATAGACCTAAGTAAATCATTAATTCATTTAATGATTGAAAAACCTACTAAATATGCCCAAATTGATTATTTTCACCTTAAAATACACCCTACAAAGAGTTTAGATCAAACTTTACCCGTTTAAGCCCCAATTGGATGAATAGTTCACTTTTAGTTGGTTTGGAGTTTCGGTAGGGCTCTCAAATTGATCAATGGGACCCACTTACCATACCCTGAGAAAAAATACCCTTTAATAGTGAATGCTATCCCTTGAATTCATTATTCAACCCTAGGGGTCATTTGATAAAGGTTAAAGTTGCTGAAATAAATTAAAAAAAAAAAGCATTGCTTGTCTTTTAGTTTTTTAGTTGTTAAAATAATTAACAATAATTTTTTTTTATGGTGGTATAGTGATCTATGTAATTTCAGCTTCAACCATTAAGGAACCCACAACACAACCTTCTTAAAAGTTTATTCGTTAAAAGACAAAGAAATAAGCTTTTCAGTTCAGCATTTTCAACTGTTATCAAATAGCCCCCAAGTTGAACCTTTTCCAAGTGTATTCATTACACTTTTCAATATTTTTAGGAACATTTCTTTAGATCTGAGCACTTTAACTCAAATAGACTATTTAGGAGACCTAAAAGTTACAAAAACCCATAAGTGGATTCCACTCAATAACATCAATCACATATCTTTTGGAGTGAACCAATGCCCCATGTTAAATCAAATTAAACTACTTCATCAGGGAAAGCTATATGCCCTTAAATCTATGTTAGTTGAAATAAATAAAAGCAAATTAATCAGTTTTTGACTCTTAATCACAAGATCTCCCATGTATTTATTGTTATCTTTTATTAGTTTTCCTTTTATTAATTTTATACCTTTTTCTTGTATTTGTATATGTTCTAAAGATAATATGATATGTAAGAAAATCTCTATTGTACAAGAAAATGTTAGCAAACAATCTTCACTAATGGAAGTTTCCTTGTTCCTTTACACTCTATTAATTTGCACCCCAAAACAACACCTATTAGTAGCTTTAGTGTTCAGCACTGTTTGCAATAATTTTCCCTAGTTCTTATTCTTACTATACTCATTTTGATATTACCCACTTAGTCTAACTATGATTCATGTACAAAAGTTCTACAACTCTATCTACAATTCTTGAAAACTAATTTAATTTAGGCCATGTTTGGGAGTGCTTATGTTAAAAATAAGTACTTATTGAATAAGTGCTTATTGAAATAAGTACTTATTTGCATTTGGCACCCAACTTTTTAAAATAAGCACTTATTTCATATTGGGTATTTGGTAGTCTTTTTTCTCCAATAAGCACTTAAATAAGCATTTGTGATTATTTTGTCCTTCATTTTCTTTCAAATTTTCAAAATATACCCTTATGAAAATACTTTTATTAAATTACTTTTATAAAAGCATTTTTATAAAAGTATTTTTATAGGGGTTGTTTTAGTAAAATGCAAACTATAAGGTTAAAATTGTCATTTTCCATGAAACTATAGGGGGTGTTTTAATAAATGACCCTTTATTTAACAATCAAATCTTACTTTAACCACTTTTTATCTATGATAAAACCTTTAACATATAGAAAAGCCTTTCATTGGGAATTAAAGGCACCAAACTAATCTCATCCCTTCACAATAAAAAAAGCCTATAATTACATATATGTAATTCTACCTAAGGATCTTACTTTTTTTGTCTTTTTTTGCTGCAAGGATCCTAAATTTCTTCTTAGAGACTAAAGTTGTCAACCGGTCATGTTTAAACTAGATTCATAGGTACATAAACCCTATATCTAGGTCTTGTCGAGTTTAAGCCAAGCTAGGTAAAGTACTTTTGAACCTGTATCCACCAATCTCAGGTATCTAACTAAGTTATACGAATCTTATTCTAATATTGTGCTAAAACACACCAAAAGATTTCTATAAAGACCCTGTGAAATGCATTTTTTAAGTAAAAACATACTAAGTGTTGATCTTTCCTCTATTCCCTAAGGCTGCATTTGTTTTTGGTGTAAATGCACTTTTACACTGATGGAGTTGAGATACGATGGTTTAGTGAGAGTGTAGAATATGGACCGACCATTGTGCCCATTTACACTCGTCCTGTTTGGTTACATCAATGTAAATGGAGGCTACTCTGTTTTCTAGTTCGTTGCAGTGGGAGTTTTACCAGAAAGGTAGAGAGAGAAAGAGAGAACCGGGGGAGAAGGAGATTGATCAAAGATTTCTTTTCTCCTCTTAGAATCTGAGAGATGACCATCACTAGTGATAGTTGCTCGTGTTCTTTCTGGTTTTAGTTTTCTCCGCTCAAAATCTAAGAGACGACCATTGATGATGATAGTTGCTCATGTACTCACCGGTTTTAGTTTTATCCGCTTAGAATCTAAGAGACGACTATTATTGGTGATGATTGCTCGTGTTCTCACCTGTTTTAGTTTTCTCCGCTCAGAATCTGAGAGACAACAATTGATGACGATGGCTGCTCATTTTCTCATCGGTTTGGTTTTCTCCAGTCAGAATCAGAGATTTCTTTTCAAACCCAACTAAGAAGGCATTGACTAGTGAACACTTGTGTTCTCACCGGTTTTAGTTTTTTTGGTTGTCGATTCTCTTCACTGCTTTTTCATGATGCCAGAACCCTTGCCCTAGATTTGGAAGGATATCTTCGAGGAGAAAAGTACAAGATGACAAAAGCCTTAGGCCCTGTTTTCATATGGAGATAGAGAAGTTTCATTTAATTTAAAAGAGATGGAGTTTGATGTAAACTTTTCACCAATTTTTGAGGAAAATACTGACAAGATGGATTTTTACACCGATTTACGAGGTGTATTAACACCTCTACCAAATGCCTGCAAAATTGGACCGGGGTGTATAGTTTACCCCAACTCTCATTTACAGTGGCCTAAACTTTTTCATTATTCCCCTATGAAAAAACTAGGTTCCATAGTTGATCTCCATGGCATGGATTCAAAATAATTTTTTGTGCATTAATTTCATTTCTTGGTTATTTGCTCAATCACCATTTCTAAACTAGCTTGGTTGAATGATAATTACTACAATTTTGTATGTCACCTTTTCTTTTATACCAAAGACACATCTTGCTTTAGAGCTAGATTGGCAATTGAAAGTTGAAACCTCTTCTACTATTCCTATTTATAAAATATATTCATTATTATTTTAATCAATAGATTTAATTTCAAATTATTGCTATAATATTTACACATCACTATTGGCCAGTAAAACTAAGCAATTAAGGTAGACACATTTATAGCATTAATATGTTTTAGTTTAAGAATTATGCCATAAAACTTCTATTTGATTGAACTGCCATTTATACTTAAAACAAAAATAACTCTTTGTTCGAAGTAAAAAAAAAAAAAAAAACACTCTTTGGAATTGAATCCTATTTGGTGAGAAATATCCATGTCAGCACCACTTTAGTCAAGACTTTGCCTCTCAAAACAGATATACCCTTATTTACATTTTAAGTAGAAACATTTTATGGCTGTTTTAATTCAAAACAGTCTCAAAATTATTGACCATTAAAATCAAAATGCCTAAATGGCACTGATATGGCAGCATTTCAAGTAGAAAAATAGCCACAGTACTTAACACCCAACCCTATTTAAGTATTCTATTTAAGTACTTGAATGCATCTATTGATGCAATAACACCATGCTATAAGCTAACTAAGCAATATAATGTAAATCTCTATATAATAATAAATTGATCTCTAGTATATAGTGTGAAGCCATTACCTGCTTCATCTATTATAAATTACTTTATTATTCTTAACACCATGGTTTTCAAAACCGGATTGGACCGGACGGTCAGACCGGAAAAACTGGGAACCGGTCTGTTTTTCACCAAAACTGGATATCTATAAAAGAAGTGTTGATTCGGTCAGCAAATCGTTGGCCCGGGTGGTTGAATCGTTTGAATCGTTCAATGATTTTGACCATTTTTTATTTTTTTGTTAGAATGGATTGATTGTTCGATTTGAATGGTTAGACCATTCGACCCGAAAACCAGACCCTTGACTGATTCGTTCTCCAGATCGATTTTAAAATATTCCTATTTTACACAAAAAAAAAAACTAATATGCACTACTACTTTCATAGGAGACGTTAAATATTAATAATATCTTTGTTTCTGTTTTTGTTAATGTGTATGCAGGTAGTTCTTGGCTCTTATGAAAACCGGATTCTGGCTTTCGATAACAAAACCAAGGATAAAGAAAAAAGAGATTATCAAGTGAAGCAATTTTACTCCCTTGTGGACAAGGTGTTGGCCGAGAATGACGGAAAATCATATAAAAACGAGCTTTTTATAAAACTGCATGAACAAACTGACAAGGCATATCAGGATCGGGTCAAAGAAATTAAAAAAGAGGTAGGAATTGCTCCTTGTTATTCCATTTATTTCGTAAAGTGTTCAGTCCTAATTATAGATATTTCTTGGAAAAGTAAAGAAATCTCTAATAATAAATGTATAGTGATTGTTTAAAAATTTAAAACTGCTAGGCTGACAAATACCCATATTATAAGATTTTAAAAATTACCTTTAGCTACGGATAAAACCGTACGTAGCTGAAAGTTAAAGAAAACCGTATAGGTTTATAGTTATGGTTTAGCTTTGGATGAGAAACCATAGCCAATATTGCAATGGCTATAGCATATAGTTACAGAAGGTATGATCCGTAGCTATAAGTGACTTTTAGCTACGGTTTTAGTTCATAGTTAAAGGCAAAAATGAGCATAAACTGTATCTATAACGACAGATAAAACGGTAGCTATAAACCATATATAGTAATGGTCTAACTTATGTTCGTAGCTAAAAAGAAAATTTTAATTAACTTAGAGTTACACTTTTTCTAAAAAAACCATAGCTAAAGGTTTCATATAGGCACAGTTTGTGCATTTTTCGTGGCTAAAGACTCAATTGTGGATCAATTTTTAGCTACGGTTTTTGAGAAAATTGTAGTTAAATGAAACATATGACAACGGTTTATAATATAAAATTTAAGTAAAAAATTTTCTATCTAGACGGTGGATTAATGATCCAACTTTTTAAAGAAACTTATGATGCTATAATTGAATAATAAATATTTAGAAAAATGATAGAACACAAAAAATGAAAAAGTACTGAATTTTGCCGAAAACATTTGGGAAGATTTCTAATGTTATATATTCATCATATTAAATAAAATTTATTGTTAAAATAAAAATTATTTTTATTTATGACAGAAACAAAATACAAAATTTAATAATAATAATAATAATATAAAGAAAAATTTCTCACGTGCAACACACGTGCTTAATTACTAGTATATATAGATGTTTGATAGTATGCATCCAAACAAGAGACAACGGTAGAATGTAGTGTGCATTTCAGTCCAAATTGAAAACACAACCTTGATTTTTTTCAAAGAAAATTAGTCCAAATCAAATACTATAGGCTTTTGTATATTGCAAATTTCAATAAAATGGGTTTAAATGGCTTGAGAATGCACTAAGAGTAATTTGGCTTAGTGTAAATTTTAGTTTGCTTTTGCGTTAGATTTGGCTTTGTCTTATATTTATTTTTTTGTGAAAACTAAATTAGGAAGTAAAATGAAGTGGTCCCCAAATGCACTCCTTCATTTTGCCCATCCTGCTCTAATTCTATGGGTGGCATCCTCCTCAATCTCTCTTTTGTTATGAATTATCAAACCAATGCACCAAATAATGTTAAATTGCGTTTCATATCATAATTGAGTTTCATATGCACCGAATAATGTCAAACCAATGTACCAAATAATGCCCACTTCATATGATAATTCTATGGGTGGCATCCTAGGTATATCCTAATTTACATTTCTATTTCAGTTTTACTTATTTTAAAATAAATTGTTTCTAAGGCAAGTGCCTATATGCTTGACTTTGCATTTAATCATTTCTATAGTTTCATAAATTAAAGCAATGTCATCAACAAATAACATGCACCACCCTCTCCTAAATATGTTTTGTCAATTTATCTATGGTTAGTGTATATAAGTGCTAAATGTTAGCACCCAACTTTTGCTTGGTCTCCTCTTCGACCCACTTTTTTCCTATCCTGGATACCTGATCAAACACCACCATTCTTTCTAAAACATGTAAAAACCCCAAGAAACCAAATCATGTTTTAAATACCCTAAGATCTTTCGTTTAATGTATAAGATTCCCTTTCTATAATTACAACTGTGCCATATCACCACACCAACCACACGATCAGACTTCATCACATGAAACAAAACCTTTAAACGATCAATCACGCCAAATTTTAGCCTTAAATTCCTCCAAATCCTTCCAAAACAAGCATGATTTCATTTTTGAGCATTCTTAAAACCTTAAAATTTCCTACCCATCAAATTTCATCTAAAAATTCTCATGTTTGACCTTCCATTGAGCAAAGATTTTATTTCAGTAAATCTCATTAATCCAATCTTGTTAGCCATTGTTATCCACCATCCCGACCCTATTTGACCAATCACACCTCATCATTATGATAGAAAAACCAGTACGCCAATTTTCATGACCTTATTCACTTGTTCAACCATTAAAATAAAAAAGATTATTTTGATACACCAGATTAAAATGCTCCTTTATGTGTCCAAACCTAAGACCTCAAAAGAGTAAGGGTTGATGCTAGCCCTTCATTTAATCCCCCTGGCCCATTCGACCGATGAGGACAAGCCAAGTAGATGAAAAGGGTTAATGTCAACCCTTCATTTAATCTCCCTGCTCCAGCCTCCCCTCTCTATAAATAAGATATGTTTTGAGCTTTAAGGGCAGATTTTAGAAAAAGAAAAAACAAGAGAGAGAACCCTCACTTGAATTTCCAACCATTTCAACAAAGAATTTAAGAAAATTTTTAAATCTCAAATTAGAATTCACCAAAAAAAAATGCTTAATTTCTCCCTGTACTCATGTCCTAGCCTTCAATAAAGATAAAGCCATTCTCAAATATCCACTCTTTCTCATCAAGGAGCAATTGCCAGATCTCCCTTCATTCAGAAATCTCAAAAGATGTCACTATCAGGCTCTGAAATTGCTCCTATAAAGTTTAGTCAAGGCTTCATCAAATAGGTAAGTTTCTTAACTTGGATTATCAGTTTTTCTTTCTTGTTAGTCAATTTTGCTTTAGTTTCCTTTCAGATATCATTTAGCTCGATTTCAGATTAATTGAGATTTATGCTCTAGAGCTGTTAAAGCTTTTTTCAAGCTTCACGTGATCTCAGAATTAGAGGGAATGAGACGATGGATTTAGGAAAAATTAAGAGCCTAAGTCCCCTTAAAAGTGAGATTAAGATATGCTATAAGGGATCCTATTCGCAAATTTTAGAACTCCATCTGTATTGATTCAAATTTTGTGAAGTTAATTAAGAGCCTAAACAACTCCCATATCAGGTTGTCATTTACAGCTTGGAGAGAGGGGTGCCTAACACCTTCCCTCTCCCACTCCTACCAAATTTAGAGTCACTTGGTAAATGCCTTTTAGGTGGAAGAAGGAATCACTATGTTTCAAAGCAAAATCAATTTTCAAAGTTTACAGAAGACCTATTTCCTCTTAAATTAAGTGAGTGGTGGCTCCTTTGTTTCAGCCAGACCTAAGCTTCCTAGAGATCACACTAAGTGATAAACCTTGGTGAAGACCCATAATAATTGCAAAAATCTAAAAATGAGATCCCATGTGGTTACCTAATCTAAAGTAAAAACACTATTTTTAGACAGGTAGTTAACCCTCCTTTAGGAAAAAACGAGTTAAAAATATTTTCAAACGAAATAAAATATCCCAAATTAAAACCTATATCTTATCTTTAAGATACATGGACTAGAATTAAAACCCATATCTTATCTTTAAGATACATGGACTAGAAAAGCATTTAAAACAATTTTAATCTGAAATAAAAATACATGGACTGATGTGGGATCCATGTTCACATAAATCCCATAAAAATTCCAATTGTAATTTTAATCCACTCAAATTTATTATTATCAAATCCATCCTTAAATGTAAACTATTCTATGTTTGTTCAATCAAATATAATTCTATATCAAATATCCAAAATATAGTTTAATACGGATCAGCAATTCAAATGGAAAGGGTTGAAAGTGCAAAAAATTCTATAATCTAATGTTAAATTAGTTTTGTTGTTACTTGAATATAACTTACGTATTCATGTTTGAGTTATGCAGGTTACTTTAAAGCTTGGAAAAACAATTTCTATGCTTAAACAACAGATGGCAGAAGCTCAACCTAAACAAGAGGATGTTAGAGAGACACGGGCACTTTGTAAGAAACTTAACGAGTGCAGAGTTTTATGAGATAAGCAGTCATGTTAGCGAGTCTTAAACATATTCCTATACATGTTGAAACCTATAGATAAGAAACTTCTAATTGATCTTGCTGTATTAATTAAATCATCCACGGACAAAGTGCTTGTATCCTGTTAGCATAGGCAGGACTGAACCAACGGAATATATAATTATGTTACATGGTGTGAATGTGTAATTCATTTACTTGTTTTTGGGGTTTCTTATTTTAAGATAGTAATAATATCATTTAATAATTATTATTATAATTATTAATGCCTCCACTAATATCTTAGTGCAATCAGACACATTTTAATGGTGATGAAATAACATTAATGCCTCCACTAATATCATTTAATAATTATTATTATAAAATTTTATTTATTATTGCAAAAAAACATTATTTATTTAAGTAATAATATTATTGAATATTATCATTTAAGATAGTAATAATATTAATTAATTACAACAAAAATATTACTATTTAATAATTATAGCTTTTTAATCTTATTCTTGATATTTTTAATATTATTAAAAAGTCTATTGCCAAAGGAAAAATAATAACTTTTACAGTTTTAGACATTGGAGAATTGTTCCAATTCAAACGATCTTATATTTTTAGAGCCTCTAAAAGCATAAAATCATTTCTACTTCTTTTCAAATTTCAAACTTGAATAATAGTTTTTTGACTTTTCAGACATCAAACTTTAGATTTATCAAGTGCCACCAAAGTGTGTTCTTTTTCTTTTCTCATAAACTAACCTAGATATACCTTCATATGTGGATAGGTGTAAAAGTACTTAAGTTCGAGTTTTAGGGCCTGTTTGGGAGCACTTATCTTTCTAGGTAGCTGCTTTGATTCAGTTGCTTAAAATGCTATTGCAAGAAGCTTGTATAGAGCCATGTTGCTATAAAATGACCAACGTAATGTTTCTTGTCGTGACTGTTTCTACTTGAAGCAATGCCACATAAGCACTGCCTAGGCGTTTTAAGTTAAAACAATTATGAAATGTTTCTACTAGAAACATAAACCAGGGATGTTAAGGGAAACATCAAATTGACATTTCCTCCATTAGTTGTATGCTTTTATAACCATCAGACAACATCTACATGTAAATCTATGTGAAACAATGAACTAATCTATCAAAAACATTTATTTTTCAATTTGAAAGACAAAGAAAGACCGGATGCAGGGGTAGGTTAGAGGCTAGGGAAAATGTGAATGTTAAGATGATGGGATACAATGATGATCTCGTTATGAGATGGACCCCCATTTATAGGGAGAGATCCTGAGGTCCCGAAAGGAAGTACCCAAAAGTGTTTGATTCCCACTAGGAAAGGGAATATTGGATTCGCTATCGGTCGTCAGGGAACACTACTAGGGTTTCACCAAGTGTCTTACGAAATATCTTCAGGGTGAACTTTCCTTTCGTCTGAAGATTCTCATAATCCACGTCTGTTATTTCCTTTCGTGACCCATTTAACCAACGTGACATGAGTGATGTCATCATTTAGTAGGCACACCTTTGTAAGGCCCACGGGGCATCATGCCACGCACGTAGATTAAAGGCGCACTTGCAACTAATATTTATTCCCGGTTTACAGTGATTCCTATATTTGTTGCGATTGTACAATGACTTCAAACTCCTTGCAGCTCTGTGCATGTCCAAAGTTCACCACAGGATTGTGTGCATCTAAAGTTCATCACAACTCATTTTCAGTATGAGTTTATCGTAGTCATGCGATGATTTATAAGTTTATCGCATATATTCGATGAGTTATGAACTCATTATAAGCATCCGTGTGGTATAAATTTGGTATCCTCTGTGCTCTGATGGTTTGAGCAATCACTATGTACCTACATTAGCCCCCTTGCTCTGATAAGCATTTTTATCCTCAGATTTGTCTTGAGGTTTTATGATAAAGCAATGTAAAAAGGGATTAATGTGTGTTGCGACATACTGATCTTTGTGTGTTAAGTCCGGTAATCGTCCCTATCTTGCATTTGGGTTTGTTGTCATCCCCCTACTTATTGACAAGCTGTGAACCGGTCAATAAGAAGTCATGCATTCGGTTTGTTAGTGGTATGGATGGAAATTCGGATGTTCATTTTGGGCTAGCCTTTTATTCATTCTGTAATTCAGCCTTCTTGTCTTTTGATAATTTGCTTTCTTTCAGTAGGCAGTTTTATGCTCGGTTTGTTAGCGAAGTTCTCAGCCCCTGCCTAATGGCAGGAAGTAAATTGTTGAAAGACGAGATGAACGTCAAAGTATAGGCATTCAGCCCCTCTGTGTATATCAAAGTGGTGTCTATCGTGAATACACAATGCGAGTTGGTAATTTTTCACTTGGCGACTTTTCGCATTCGGTTACTGTTGGAGGGACGGGAAAGTTGTTATGTGCCGATGACATGGCAATCATCATTAGGACTTTTCCTAATCATCATCTCCCAATAAATGCGCTTTGTTTGCGCATGTGGCTTGGATACGGGATGTAACATTTAAAGTGGCGATTGCCAATGTAGTGCCAATTTTTAATTAATGTGTCGGTTTGTCCTACCATCTGGGGGTACGGTTATAATTTTAAATACTTTACTTTTTCATTAAGTGTCGGTGGGGAAATTGTAATCATGTCGATTCATCTTTCCTGGTGCTGTTTGGCATTCCCGACACATGTGAGGGCTCTTTAAAAGGGTGGTACGCCTGCATACATTCTTTTCTATGCTCTCTTGCTATTCTCAGTCAGTTTACTCTCTTTGTTCCGTCCTTGCCTTTCTAGCAACTATTCCCGGTCTATTTCTTTCTTGTTTTCTTACTCGTTCCCTATCTGTCAACCATGGCTCCTTGCCAATAGAGAACTCATTGTCTGTTCATTGATTTTATTAGAGTTGTGGATACAACAGAAATGTTGTCTGAATGTGAAGCGGCCAGTGTGGCCGATGGTGGTAGAGGTTTCTGGCCTCCTATGCCAGTGTTGATAGGGGAGGGAGGGCGTTTCGATGCCATTGATGGTATTGATTTAGTTTGTTTGTATGGGCGCGTAGCACACTCTATATATCATATAAGTGTCAGGAACCAAGGATCGATACCTCAAAATTCACGATTAGCTACTCGGGTTGGGCATGCTACATCCTGGAAAATTAGATGTACTATCGTCTGCTACAGGACACCGAGCTCCTCCGTTTTGTGGATTGCTTCATAAATCTTCTAGGAAAAGAGGGGGTAAAATATGTGAAGCCTGTTTTGGAACATTGGTGTTGCCGCACTCATACATTCGTGGGGTGTTCAATGAGTTCGGCATAACTGTTGAAGATGTAGTTGCCTTATTGGCACTACCTATCGGTGGGTCAGTGTCTACCCATCATTTGGAGTTCCTTGAGTCTCTTTTGGCCAATGTTTTGAGTCTCTCTGAGGAATTATTGGGGGAGATTGTGGAGTTTATGTCCCAGGTAGACCAGTCCACTGCTTAGGGTAAAATGCCGATTGAAGAATGGGTGAATTATTGGTTTAAGGCCAATAACAAGGGAGACATAATGGTGCACATGGGGGAGAGCCAATGCCACCTTGCGGCGTTTATTCTGTATGTCACATCTCGTTTCCTTTTCCCAGGGCTTCCTGATTATGGCCTTCACATAGTGCTGGTCCCTCTTGCGGTGATGGTTGCCGAATTTCTGGGGTATTTGTTAGAGCAGATGGATGACACAGTCCATTAGATGACGGATCCAAGCTACAAGAGGTGTATCAGTTACATCTTTGCCCCCCTCTTGTTTATGTACATTTGTAGGTGTTTGGGGCTCAGTGTCACACCCTAGTGACTCTCCCCTATGAATGTCACCATCACAACCTTAAAGGGAGACGAGACCGAAGATCATTCATTGGGGGTTTGCCGTAGAAAGTGATAGCTTCACACTACAAGGCTCAAGGACTTCAGGGTAAATGAGGTCGAGTTGAAGTTGTCATCCATTGAAGGTTTCATGTAGAGGCCTTACACCCTAGCTGTTCGGCATGCTATGCCGTTTTGTGTCGGCACTGTTGTTCCTAAGGATGGCAATCAATAGTGTGCTATGAAGGTGACGCATCCTGTCGCAAACATGGCACATCTTATCCTATGGCCCAATGTCCTCGCATACTTGGATCGTACCGGTGAAGCCCAAGTTCCAGACTATCACCTTGATAGGGTCCTGTTCCAGTTCGGCTACGACAACCTTGGAGCCCATTTGCCGTGGTCTTCGAGGGAAGACGTATTTTGGACCCGTCGACATGATTTAGCATTCCCGGGAAGTTCACGATTCCCCATTGCAGGGTACAGGAGGGCTCAGGCTTGTAAGTCCCTCCACTTTGCATACATGTGCTTGCTGTTCAAGGGCCTCCAAATGTTCATGTCTACGATTCCTCATCCCCATCATGTTATGGCTCCCCATCTTAGTCATGTGGTAGACCAGGAGTAGGATCTAGTTAATTTGCAACTGAGACCAATGATTGCAGAGGAGCGAGAATTCATGGGTGTTGTTCGAAAGGGTAAGCACCCAACTCTTGAGATAGGTGAAGAAGGTATCTGCCCTCCTACGGCAAAGAGGGCTAGATCGACGAAGGTACCTTGCACTATTGCTCCACCCACACCAGCTGTGTAGCACCCCCCAGAATCATATGATGCATCATCCAAGGCTGGGGTTGCTGATGACAGGTGCTCGCCATGAGCAGATCCTGAGGAGGCTAGGCGGAGTCTCCAGCTCCAATGCCCGAAGTACAGGATGCAACCGATACTGAGTCAGCACAGTTGGTGGTTCCAATTCCCCCAAAGAAAGTTACTCCTGTCCGTGTCTCAGGCGGACGTCTGAAGAAAATGGCTTCCCATCCTTAAAGGAGGGAGCCAAAGAAAGTTGATTTGGTAATAACTAGTACTTTTGATGCATTTGTTTTACTACCATTATGGTTAGCACAACACTATTTTCACTAACTTGTTTACACTTAACAGTCTTTCGTTTTGAAGCGAGTGGAGGCTGATGACTCTTAGCTTGATGCAGAAGCCCCACGAGCCCCTCTCTCATAGGAAATGATGGCTATTTTCTCTCAAATACAATATCAATTAAACATCAGTTAGGATATCATTTGACTTTCGGTAATGCGGTAAAGTAACTAAGGCACAAATAACCAACCAATAGAAAAAAACAATTTAGTAGAAAGTTACTATTTACATTCAGTACA